GTCCACCCCTCGCCGGCCAAACATCTGAACATTTTTATCCCCTCAGACCGAGCGGTGGACCCCCCGAGGCCCACGTACCCGCTCCCCCCCCCCCGATCCCGCCCTTGCCGTTTGCGTTTGGCCTCGCCCCCTCCCTCTTCCACCCCCCTCTCCTTCTCTCGGCCCCCTCCCCCTTTGCCTCCTGCCAGGGCGTCACTCTCCTCGTCGCAGCTCCTTGTCCACTCCCGCCGTCTTTCGCCTCGCATCTCCTCCCTCGCTCTCTCGGCATCCCCCGCCGCAGCCGCAGCCGCCGCAGCCGCCGCCGTCGCTGCCGCACGCCGCCCCGATGGGTCACATTTTCTCCTTCCTCCGGGGCCGCAATGCCGCACCAACCAAGCGCCCTGGCGGGCATGGGCTCCGGCCCGGGACCATGCTCCAGGTGGGCGGCTTCGCGCCCGGGTCCGCCAAGCACACCGGCCTCTGTGTGGAGTTCTACCCGACGTACATCCCGGCGCCCGAGCTGGCCCTGCTGGCTGGGGCCCTGTCTCCGCCGGTCCCCGGGGCCCTGCCTTCCGGTCATGCATCTAGCCTGAGCACCGGCTCGGTCGGGGCCTCCACGCGGCGGCCGTCTGTCGGCGGCACCGGGCCGCATGGGCAGCGCCGCCGCCGGCTCACCGTGCGCGCGCGCATTGGCTCCGGCGCCAGCGGCACCGTCTACCATGTCATCGAGCCGCTGTCCAGCCTCGGGGCCGTCAGCGCCACCGGCGCCGGCGGCTCGATCCACACCCCCACCAGCCCTTCGGTGGCCAATTACCCGACGCTCGGGGCGGCCGGCCCTCCCGGCGGGGGGGCCCTGTCGCCGTCCTACACCCCGGCCGCGCAGGCCGTCACCCCGGTCACCACCGAGTGGGCTCTCAAGCAGGTGGTCATCCCGGATGCCGAGGGTCTGCTGGTGCGTGCCCCCCCCCCCCTCCTCTCGGGAGAGCTGGCTGCGAGGGGCCTCGCTCCGATCCACGTCTGCC